TCCCCCCTTCCTATAGTTTTGAGGCACTAGAATTTAGGCATACTAGTAGTCAAAAACCCTGGTGCGAAAGCCGTACTATATGTCAAAAACCCTGAAAGGGTTAAAAAACAAAGAAGGGAAGTAACCCCGGAAAAGGACTTGCTACCTAAAGTCCTTATGGAAGGGGATTCCCCTTCCAAAGAATAGAGCACCTCTATCATCTCCCCTCCTCCCCATCTCATCACTCGTCAATAAATCTTCAATAAAGGTGAGTGTCATTTATTCTTCATGTATTTATTCATGTCTCATTGTTTTCTGTGTAGGAAAAATGTATGTTTCATGTGAACAAAAAAGAAATTTTATTACTTTTGGGTGTCTGGAATGGATTAATTGGATTTCCATTATTTCTTATGGGGAAAATTAAATCGGATAATGATAGAATCGGTTAAGGACAAGCTCTCTAGAATTTATTAAAATCGTTTCCCGAGAGTCCACTGTACTAATAGACTACTTAAGTCTAGACAGGTGAAAAGTGTACTAGTAGTGGTTACCAATGTTTTGCTGATGGTGGCGCCAACTACTGGCAGCTTTTTGAAGTTTTTCTTTACTGTTATTATTACTACAGTCCCCATCCCTTTATTGAAGCCCTTGGGGCCAGCAGTGTTTCGAATTTCAGAATTTTTCGAACTTCAGAATGAAGGTGGGTTCTAGGCGAACAGGTCTACTGCAGTTTTCCTCCTTTCTTATTGAAATATAAACACATATGCAGCATAATGTGATCCTTTGTTGACAACGTTTTGCCCACACAGTGGGCTTTATCAAGCCACAAACAGATCTACCTGGGTGGAAGGTTCGTGAATATTTATAGGACGAGGTCAGGTTGAGAATGCTGGGTCAGGTGGAGAAAGCTGCATGTGACAGTCTACCGAGTAGGGTTATAGAGTCTAATACCTTGGGTAGCTTGGAAGAGAGATTGGATAAGTATATGAGTAGACCTTCTGCGGTGTTTCTCCATTCTTATGTTCTAATGTGGGATAGCGATGAAGAAGTTTCTTGGCAAGGGGTTCAGCTATGTTTTAGAAGCCGTTATTCTGGTTGAAGTTGTTAGATATAGAGATAAGCGATGATTCCAGGATTCTTCGGTACTGAGTGTTGTCTTCTCTGGCGATAAGTCTTGCGTTTCTGTAAGTACAGTGGACCCCCGCTTAACGATCACCTCCAAATGCGACCAATTATGTAAGTGTATTTATGTAAGTGCGTGTGTACGTGTATGTTTGGGGGTCTGAAATGGACTAATCTACTTCACAATATTCCTTATGGGAAAAAATTCGGTCAGTAATGGCACCTGAACATACTACTGGAATGAAAAAAGTTCGTTAACCGGGGGTCCACTGTATGATGCTTGAGCCACAGAGCTGTCACTCGAGCATCATACTAGTAATATTTCCAAGGAGCCAGGCACTACTGGTGTTATGTCATCCATTCGGAGACTGGAAACTCTAACGTAATTGTCACAGGATAGTGTGAAGATGCCTTAGAGGTCAAGGATACTCAGACCTAGGCTGTGGAACTCATCCTGTGATGGTTGCTTGTTTGAGTGGTCATTTCTCAATCAGGGATGGCCTTTTAGAAAGCAACTACTTGACCCAGTTTGTTCCTTCTCTTGTGAGTTACGGTTATCTGCAGGACATTAACATATTTGCTAGTGATAATTGCTGAGGTGACAGGTTTATGGATTGCAAAAGTCAAGGGCATGCAGAATTCATTTTGACAATAGTCCATGCCCTATCGCTAACTGCCCTCTTCAGTGAAAGTTCCACCTTTAACTCGGACATCCACTTGACATTTTAAATGAAATTAACTTATTATACAACTGTGATATTCATCTCACCATCCTCTTCCTCACTAAGGCCTTAATTAATTCCAGTCATCCATACCTTTGCAATTGAATTCATCATTGTGCTGTATGACCTATATGGCTTTAACACCTGTTTTCAAATATACAAAAAATTATTGTGTGAAAAGGGTTTTATGGCTAGTAATATACAGTAAGAGTTGTGAATCTTTAGAAAGTTGCACTTATTTCATGTAACAGAAGTTCATCATTTGTATTAATATTCATTCTTATTCAGTATATGTATCCAGATAATTTTAGAATACAGCACTGTGCTAACTCACTTTTTTAATCCACAGCTATTTTGAGGACCAACAACCAGCTTGCATGTTTCCAGACACTTGTGATCTCCAGTCTTACAAAATCTTACAAGAAGCATTTGTGCAAGTGTCTTTTAATGGCATCTGACCAGTGAAATTGTACCAAGTAATCAATTTTAACTGTCCTGTATCTCCAACTAATCACGATGTAGCTGATGCCTCTCTCTCCAACTTCAACTTGGAAACGTGAACGACCAATCACATTGAAACTGCCATCTCCCTCTGTCTCCTGCTTTCCTGCCGACCTCCAGCCACCAATCGCCATCAAGATCAAGATATACCCAAGGCTCAAGATCTCAGCCAGCATGGCCTGTGTTCTCATGCCTTCTGTATTGCTGTATACATCTGCTTTATAATGCCTTGCTGCTGGGTTTATCCCTAGCTCTTTCTTCTAAGACTCAAGATATTCCTCTCTACAGCTATTCTTCGTCTGTCCCCACTGCCCCCTCACCCCTAGTGGGTCCTTGCCTGTGAGTCTGTTCATTCGCTCATACTGTCCTGTACTGAACTTTATTTAAAAAATATCACAGATGAAAAAATATTAGATATTGTTATTCACACTAAAGCTGATTTAGAAGATAAACTTATCAAGTATTCATTATTATTATTATTATTATTATTACATTCATGAGGAGAGTGTTAAACTTCTAAGGTCATACAGTGCCTGGGGAAATGGAAGACAATCAGGTACTGTTCAAGGAAGGGGAGGTAAGATCCAATTCTTTGGATCAAGAGCCCCTCACTAGCATGAAGGAGCCTCCCGTAGAAGGATATCAGTGTTCAGAGTGTCAGAAATGTTTTAGTGAAAAGCGTTATCTTGGTAGACACAAGAAAATTCATACAGAAGAGAAGCCTTATCAGTGTTTAGAATGTCTGAAAAGTTTTAGCAAAAAACGTTATCTTATTAAACATAAGAAAATTCATACTGGAGAGAAACCTTATCAGTGTTCAGAGTGTTTGAAATGTTTTAGCATAAAAAGTCATCTGGTAATTCACAAGAAAATTCATACAGGAGAGAAGCCGTATCAGTGTTCAGCGTGTCTGAAATGTTTTAGGCAAAAAAGTCATCTTGTAATGCACGAGAAAATTCATACAGGAGAGAAGCCTTATCAGTGTTCAGAGTGTCTGAAATGTTTTAGCCAAAAAAGTTATCTTGTTAAACATGAGAAAATTCACACAGAAGAGAAGCCTTATCAGTGTTCAGAGTGTCTGAAATGTTTTATCCAAAAATATGATCTTGCTCTACATGTTCAAAATCATACAGGAGAGAAGTCTTATCAGTGCTTGGAGTGTCTAAAATGTTTTAGCCAAAAAAGTTACCTTGTTAAACATGAGAAAGTTCATACAAGAGAGAGGCCTTATCAGTGTTTTGAGTGCCTGAAATGTTTTAACCAAAAACATCTACTTGTAAAACATGAGAAAATTCATACAAAAAAGAAACCTTTTCAGTGTTCTGAGTGCCTGAAATGCTTTAGTCAAAAAAGTTATCTTGTTATACACAAGAAAACTCACTCAAAAGAGAAGCCTTATCACTGTTCAGAATGTTTGCAATGTTTTAGACATAGAGGTTCTCTTGTTAAACACAAGGAAATTCATACAGGAGAGAAGCCTTATCAGTGTTCAGAGTGTCTGAAATGTTTTAGTCACAAAAGTTATCTTCTTAACCATATGAAAATTCACACAGGAGAGAAACCTTATCAGTGCTCAGAGTGTCTGAAATGTTTTCGTCAAAAAGGTAGTCTTGTTAAACATAAGAAAATTCACACAGGAGAGAAGCCTTATCAGTGTTCAGAGTGTCTGAAAAGATTTGGTTGTAAAAGTGGTCTTGTTAAACATGAAAAAATTCACACAGGAGAGAAGCCATATCAGTGTTCAGAGTGTCTAAAATGTTTTAGGAGTAGGAGTAATCTTGTAGAACATGTGAAAATTCATACATGACAGTAGCCTTATTAGTGTTCAGAACTTTTAAGTCTTTGTCAATATATGTCTCCATTGTGATACTTCAGCTTCACATTATTCCAGACTATGGAGCAGAACTCTTCTCTGACCACCTCAAAGCTACTACTAAAAGGGACTGATTACATCATCTCTACAACTTCCCTGCTTCCGGTGTCTTTGTATTTGACTGAAGAAGCCTGCTTTGTAGGTGAAATGTTTTGTAATAAAGATACCTAACTGTTGCACATGTTTCTTATCAACTTTCTCTATTGTATACCATTATTATAGTCAACACTTCAGATGCTCCAACAACTTTATTGCCTGACCACTAGTTTAAAGTGAGATTGAATTTGAGAGGGACCTAACCAGTAGTCTTGCTACAGTGCCTTTCAATTATTACATTCATTCTTGTACTTGTGGAACAGCCTCTACTGTCGTTGGAAGGATTTTCCACAATTCACCTGTGCCAGAATGTAATTCTCCTCTCTGATTCTTCAGATTTACATTGTTTTAGACTTTGGAGGAAATTTTTTTCCAGGCTGTGGGACTGACCACCACAAAACTACTACTTGAAGGGTAATGGACTGATTACATCATCTCTATGTCTCCACTGCTTCTGCTGCCTCTGTATTCAGGTGAAGAAGCATATTGTGTAGGTGAATTGTTTAAGAATAAAGATACCTAACTGTTGCACATGCATCTTAGTTATCATTTTTTGTTGTGTTGTCAGTGCATTTTTGCAATTTTTTTGTAACTGAATGGAATATTAAAAAATAGTATGTGTGTGTGTAAAGTTTTGTTTCAGGCTCAGTAAAATGGCTAATGAAACACTTAAAATGCTTCAGCAAGCACTTGGTGACAAAGCAGTGGGTTGGACAGTGTTTTGAAAGGCAATGATAATACCCATTATGTGGTGGCAAATTTTTCAATGAATATTTTTTTATGTAACTTTAGGGGATGGGATAGAAGGGAAGGAGGGTGAGTAGGTGGGTAGCTAGAGCCAATGAGAAAATAATTAGCAATATAAGTTTGCCAGTGATGCCAAAATAGGTCATCTGATTAATTCTGACAAGGACACTAGAACGTAAGTGTTCGCAATAAAGCAAATAGAATTCTTGGCTTCATATCAAGAAGTATGAATAGCAGGAGTCCTCAGGTTATTCAACTGTATATATAATTGGTTAGATGATTAAAAAGCATGTGCAACAGTTGGGTATTTTTATTGTTGACATGTTTCACTTTCACAGTAGGCTTCTTCAGTCAAATACAGAGGCAACAAGTATAATAGGAAAATGAAGATGATGCAACCAGTCTATCAACCTTGGAGAAAAAGTATTTGAAGTGGTCAGTTCCTCAGCCTAGAGAAAAGTTCAGCTCCATGGTCTGGAATGAAGCTGAAGCATGAGAATGTAGTCTTAAATTCTGTCTAAGGTGAGGTGGAAGATCAGGAAGAGGTTTCTGGGACAAGATTCACTAATAAGAAAGCAGATCCCTCTGGAATCCAATCCTTCTCACTCATCACTAGTAGTTACATGATGATGTGCATGGAAGAAATCCTCTTTACCGAGATACCAAAGAGTGTGTGGGGGATCCTTGAAGAGTGTGTGTGGGAGCCCAGGAGGATGTGTGTGGGAGACCAGGAGGGTGTGTATGGGATCACAGAAGGGTGTGTGTGGGATCACAGGAGGGTGTGTGTAGGAGACCAGGAGGGTGTGTGGGAGCCCAGGAGAGTGTGTGTGGGAGACCAGAGGGGTGTGTGTGGGAAACCAGTAGGATGTGTATGGGATCACAGGAGGGTGTGTGGGGGAAACCAGGAGGGTGTATATCTGGAGAGGGTTTTGGGGGCCAATGCCCCTGTAGCCCAGTCTCTGACCAGGACTCAAGCTAGATCACGGCCTGATCAACCAGGCTGTCTTACTTATGTTACCTTGTCATAGAACTTGTAGGCTTGTGGTGCAGAATTTCCCATCTCTGAAGCAGTGTTGGTTGTCACCCTCCTCTCCTGATAATCTCCATGACTTTACATACTATACATGTCAACAATAGTGGTCTGTAATTTAATACTACCTGTCTGTCTCCTTTCTTAAAAATTAGAACTATGTTTGCTGTCTTCCCCACCTTAGGAAGTTATCTTGTTTCGATAGATTTATTGAAGACTATTGTTAGCGGCACACACAATGCATTGGCTTCCTCTCTCAGGGCCCAAGGAGAGATGTTATCTGGCTCCACTGCCTAACAAAGGGAGGGTGAGGGTATGTGTGTGTGTACTCACCTAATTGTGGTTGCAGGAGTCAAATCATAGCTCCTGGCCCTGCCTCTTCATTGGTCGCTACCAGGTCGCTCTCTGCTCTGTGAGCTTTATCATACCTCTTCTTTAAAGTATGTATGCCTCTACTTCTTAAAGCTATGTATGCCTCCACTACATCACTTTCCAGAATGAAGAAGTTATGAATGAAAAGATTCCCTCCCCCTCCTTGCCACAATAACCCAACATTCATCTTCCAGTAACCCCTGAAACACTTTGGCAAACCCTCCCAATTTAAATCCACCAGAACCCCTCGATGGTCAGAGAAACTTACATTCAACACACACACACACTGCCCACCCTCACCCCCTGAGATACATAAATGCCATCAAGCCTCGCTGCATAATCACGTTTAATGAACGTGTGCATCACTCCACCTACCTCCCCTCCAACATCCACTACATTCACACCTCGCAACACATCCCTAAAACCCCCGAAAAAAACCCTCCCTCTAGGCTCCACATCCTAATGTCATACAACACAGTTCCAATCACCCCCTATAATCATAATGCCTGGCAGCGATCTTGAATGGTAGAACCTATTTTTAATGCTCATGTCCCCTTTTGCCGGCCCATACACCCCAATGAAACCCACCCAAACCCCACCCCACATACCATCCACCCTAACCACCTGCCCCTCCTGCCCTACCTCACACCTCTGCAAAAGAAACGGGCTGGCCTTCTTGATTAATAATGCCACACCACCTTTCAATTGTGTAGAACAACCCATGTACACTTCATATCCAGTAATCGACAATTCACCCAAAGATTTATAATTAATGTATGTTCCAGCAGGAACACAAGATCTGGCACATATCTCCTCAAACAAGCCTCCAATACTTTACATTTACCCACTGCTTTCAACCCATTAACATTTAAAGTAAGGTGCTTGATAGGCCATAATAGGCTTACCCTTAGGCACCCTACACTTGGAACCCAGGTGAGAATTCCCACCCCACCCCCCACACTTGCAATTACCTTCCCCTTTCATATACTCAATATTCTTTAAGCCGCCTTTACCTCTAGGTGTTACATCATGCCAAGCTTTCTTCCCAGTCCTTTGCCCAAGCGTAAAATCATTCTCACTATCAGAAATAACAGCCGCCCTCTTGCGAGAGCTATGCTCCTCAATCATCGCCTCCTCCTGGGCTTCTTCCCAGTGGACCTTCACTGCTACACTCTGAACCAGCCCCTTACCACTCACTTCCTTCTCGTTGAGGCCTCCCACCCCTGCCTCCACACTCACGGTATCCAAATCAGTATTGTCGACACTAGACACTAAAACATCCAATAAGTCGTGCAGGGCCTCCTGAATGGAAGCTTCCAGAACATGTTTAGCAATTGCAGGCTCCTCGCCACCCGTTGCCGACACCAAGCCTACGTCCTCACCAATTCCAGTGAGTGTCACACAATCAGGCAACAATGCCTCCTCCCTCTCCATCTCCACACTCCACACCTCCCATGGCGAAGGCTCACATTGCGTCGCCATTGCATAAGTCAGCTTTTCAGTAGTATCATCACACCTCGCCTCAGCCTCAGGTCTCCCACATTGCATTGGACAGTGTGCCGCTATGTGGTCGTACGCCCCATTCATGCGGCATGTACCCCTCTGACCCGTGTACGTCACGTACACCTGAGTCCAGAAGTCCTCCATTCCCACATATGACGGAATAGGATGCTTCAGGGACATTTTAAGGGAAAATGTCCCTTTAGGGAAACCAACAAGCAGCCCATCTCGCCAACGTCCCAATGTTGCCATATGAATCGTCCCATATCTTCCGAACACATGCCGTAAATCACTCTCATCTGCCTCGAAAGGTACGTTATGCACCTTGACCCAGGTGTAGAACCTTGACACATCATGAAGACTGACACTAGCGCCAGGGGTAACCGGCTTAACCTTATCCTGGTACTTGGCCACCATGTTTTCATAAGTGCTGCTCAGCCAGAACTTGACGAAAATTCGTGCCACGCCATTCAGTGAAACATCATAAAGGTCTTCATTAGCAATGCTGTACATCTCGCGTCGTATCGGCGTCAGCAACGTATTGGTATTCTGGGCGTTGAGCACACCCCTCACCAGCTCCACACAAACAGTGTTGACACGTCTGTGGCCACTCTCTGCCATGATGAAAGTGCTGTCACTTGCCACCAGGGGTCAAAGTGCAGTTCCACGTATGTCCTCTCTACCCGAGGGTCGAGAGACGAATGCCGTATTGGGATTAACCTGGGATACTGCGAGAGATTTGTTATTGTTAAAACCTTTATAATTATAGTATGCCCAATAAATTAACCAAGAGAGTCTTGCTGAAGTTTCCAAATGTTTCGATCCACTAGGCTTAGTGTCACCCCTTACAATAAGAGAGAAATTGTTAATACAAGAAACATGGAAGTTTAAGTGTGCTTGGGATGAAACCCTACATGAGGAATTTGTTAACAGGTGGGAAGAATTAATGGGTGATTATGTAAAAATACCAATGTTGGAATTCCCAGGTAATGTAGCAAGTCAAGATGGTGATAATATATGTACAGTGGACCCCCGGTTAACGAACTTTTTTCATTCCAGTAGTATGTTCAGGTGCCGAATTTTTTCCCATAAGGAATATTGTGAAGTAGATTAGTCAGTTTCAGACCCCCAAACATACACGTACAAACGCACTTACATAAATACACTTACATAATTGGTCGCATTTGGAGGTGATCGTTATGCGGGGGTCCACTGTATTACACATTTTTTGCGATGCTTCAAAATTGGCAAATGGAGCAGTTGCTTATATTAAGTGTAATAATGTTATTTCTCTTGTCATATGTAAGGCTAAAGTGGCTCCAGTTAAATCATATACATTGACTCAGTTGGAATTAACAGCCATTTATGTAGGCGTCAAATTAGCTAATTATGTAAGAAATAATTTGCAAGGGATAAATATTAGTGACACCGTAATTTGATCTGATAATGAGGTATCCTTACAATGGATTCGTAATGGTAGCAGTAAGTTTGTGTATGTACAAAACAGAGTCGCTGAAATTAATCAAATGCAAGAGAAATACAATATTTTGGGTTAACATTTGTTGACATTTAATCATATACCTGGTGACGAAAATCCAGCTGATTTCTTGTCACAAGGCTGGACGTATCTTAAATCTTGGTTTAAAGGACAGAGGTGGTTGGTAAATAAAGTTAATTGGCCTGTACAAAAGGCGGATATTGCACCTGTTGAAATTACTGTGACCACTGCTCCAATAATTTGTCCCTCATTACCCACTGATATCAGTAGGTATGGATATCGCACATAATTTTCCACATCCTCTGAAATACTGGCTTCAGAGGGTGCAAGAAGAAATTATGGAGATGAAATTAAACTGTTATTAAAGAGGAGCATTTGAAGCGGCAGCAGCAGCGGCAGCAGCGGCATCCTATCAGCTCTTCTTCCTCAAAAAACATCGCTCATCAAAACTTGTGATGGCCTAAGTGAAAGTTCAACTACATGAACCCACGTAGACCACAAAATGACCCAAGAATACTAAGAATGTAACCCAAATCTTGACAAAAATAGAAGATCTAAGGAAGACAGCCCTGCTAACCCAAACACTGCCTCCGCTGCCAGACAACCACTTAACCCAAGCTCCGAGAAAACAAGCCTTCTCCATTGCTACACAGTATCTACTTCAGTGATACTATGAAAGGATATCGCAGAAGAAACAACATCAGTAATAAAAGAATAACAGCAAGGACCCTATAACTCAACTTGTCTACCCAGCAGGACGCCGG